CATCTCCAGTCTCTTAGTTAATCTTGCATAATTCAGTCTCAATATCTTGTTCCCTCAGTTATCATTGCATTTCAGCATATTTGCATGTCCATAAGACTCAACTTAGTTAGATATCAGTTTCTAGCATTCAGTTGGTATGGATTGCAGCTCTTTCCCTCAAAATTCAACTTGTTTAGTCTTCATTCGAGGATGAATGATCCCAAGGAGGAGATATTGTAACACCTCGGACTTCGAGAAAGGGCTAGAAAGGATAAACATGCAAGTCCACTAACCCATAAAGGACCATGAACCCTTCACGGTACCCTAGATGGGCCGTTTAGGGGTCCACGACCCGTTAAGGGCATTGTGAGACCATCCAGGATTGCCCCTAGGCAGGAGTCACCTAGACGGCCCGTGGTGACTTGGACGGCCCATCTAGGGGTCCGTACAAGTTACCCAGACAGTGAGGTTGCACCCTAAGGCCACTATGAAGGACCACAGACTCCTAGACGGTCCGTGAAGCTTTTTACGGACCGTGAAGTCGTCTGTGAAAGGGACTTCTTAGGTTTTGAGTTTTGGGTCAACTTCAAATAATCATATCTTTCAGCACAAAATGAATCAGGTGGCCCATTACCAATTAAATTAAAGATCTTTGAGTCCTCTTTCCAACTCTACCAAGTTTGCCTAATTATGTGCCCGAAGTAAGAAGTTGTGCCCATTTTAGTGAAGCCCTATTGCGTAGGGCAACATCACGACCCACTAGGGCCATGATGCTTTAAACAACCCGTGATGCCCCTCTTGAAAGTCACCTCTTCTATTTTAAGTGAGGATCGTGTTGGTCTTTTCCCCTATGCGTTTGGTACTTAAAACTACATCGTTTTACTTTGTCTAAGCCTAGTTAATATAATTGTCCCTAAAAACCTTTTTCAGCGTATTTGTGGAGGGTAATTTTGTAAGCAAATATTTTTTTTAGAAGTTATGCAATGCATGTTGTTTTTAATTGATCAAACCAATTTTTGTATAAGAAACACTCTCAGCATAATTAATGCAAGCATAATTAAATACCAACATTACTAACACATCATATTCAACATTATTTTTATGCACACTACCACACGATCCCTTAATACTTTATTTGATACATTTTTTCAACCTACACATTAATTATACACTCTTATTTGGTATTATCCTATGTATAACTAATAAATGAAAAATCATGGTATTAGCATGCAAGGAGTATATGTATATATTAGCATTATTAATAAGAGCAACTTAAAAAACTGACTATAGTTTTAGGGTTATTAGATTAGAATAGCTATAAGTATTTTATTTATCCATAATAGCTATAGTTTCTGTCTAAATCTTGTCGTATTCAAAGTATCTATAGTTTTTTTTTAAAAAATAAAATAAAATGATACAGTTTTAAATATAATGCACTAAATAAGGGTTTTTTTTTGTTTTGTTATTATAAGTATACACTAATAATCACTTAGTAGGACTTGACTGGATATGACAAAACTCCAACGACTTTGTTTTTCAAATTATGTCGAGTAACCTTCCTAAAGTAAGTGAGAATTCAAAACAGGGCGGCTCTACAGCTTTGCAAAAAAAAAAAAAACAATTGCCTTAGGCCCCAAAATTTGAAGGGCCTCATTTTAAAAAATAATAATAATAATAATAGGTTATAAGTATTTTATTTTTTTTTAAAAATATCGAGTATTATTTGTAGAAAATAAAAAGTTTTTTATAAAAGAGAAAAGAAGTAATAGAAGTTTGACAAATCATGAATACTATGTCTCAAGAAAAATTAAATAATTGACTATAATAAACTTCATAAAAATATATATATTCAAATTTAAGGCCTCCATTCAGATTTGGCTTTAGGCCACCGTTTTATTAGAGTCGCCCCTGATTCTGAATGAATATTTTTGTAGATATTATGTACACTAAAATAAGAAAATAACTAATATTAGGATTTGACTGGAAATGATCCAAAATTCCAACCAGCACCTCTCTGTATTTCAAAATTATGTCGAGTAACTTCTTTTTATAGAAGTAACATCTAAACAAATAAGAGACAATAATAACAATATATAGTTAACTCGCTTTAAGAAAGCCTTTTACTGTCAACAACTTGTTGTACATTATATACGGATGATTAGCACCCTCATCAATTTTTTTCATTTTCTTCGCACCTTGATAATTAGTCTATTTTCTTAACCAGATAAGAAAATATTAGTTGAAATAATGAAGATGATGATAAATTTAATATTTTAACTTTTCATTTGCCTGTGTTTTTTTTTAGGGGGGGGACCATTTTACCACTAGATCACAAAGTGTGTAGTGGTCTTTTATTAGAAATAAAAAATATCTCAATAGGGATAAGTAGAAGTGATCATTTACCATTTGAAATCATCAAATTACCATCTTTCTAGAATATGCTATATATCAATCTCATACCACTCCTATTGCAAGCTTATGATATTATACTCGTATTCAACTTAGTCAGTATCGCTATTCGAACACTTGAGCTACTCATCATCATTGGAGATTAAAGGACATGGCTATTCCAACTTCACGTTGGAGATTAAAGGCCATGGCTTTCCGTTGCAGTGTCTGTGTACTCCGTTAAGTGAATGGACTAAACTTCACATTTAAATTTAGTTGAATGCCAAAATGTACTCAATGATTAATTCTAGGATCAAAATCAATTAAGGCAATAAAAAGTTGTTCTGAAAATGATATTTCTTGAACGTCAAAAATTACAAGACACATTGTACAAGTATTTTGAGCCTTATATTAGGCAGATTAATCATCTTCCCATTCAACATATTTAAGTACACATGGATATCTCTCTTAAATTTGTGAAAAGGACCCCAAGGCCAGTTTGTTGTGTCTTGTGTGTTCCAAAAAGAGTGTAACTGACCAGGAGCTCCATCTTCATTTTCTTTCCTACCATAATACCCTTGTGTATATTGATTGAAATTTTGTGGCATGTTGAAGATCGACTCTGAACTGTTTTGACCAATCCTGAAAATATTATTAACAAGATGAGATGAGTTATATATATTCAGGAGCATTACTTATTAATATATTGATGATAATTTGGAGAATAAATTAAAGAGAGAAAACATGCATGCCTTTCTGATCCTTGATTGTTTAGATCAATTGTTTCTTTCCCAAATGGTTGGTATCTTGTGCTTGTCCTATTAGGTAACCTTCTTATAGGACCTCCATTGCTACCACTGCCAATACCATTTTCTTGACCAACCATCAACTTAGGCTTGATGAAGTGACTTTCTAGTTTCTCCAAAGTTAGAATATGTGATATGGTTCTCTTTTTTTTCCAAGAATCATATCATTAGTCTTATGGTTTTCTTCTTTTTTCCAAGAATCAGTTGAAGTTCTCAAAGGTTGATCAATCAAGAACTTTGATTTCAAGGACGCTTCTCTCTCGAATTTCACCAAAATTGGGATTTTTGGCAAAGTTTGTTGGAGGATCATGTCATTTGTAGTTTCACCTTGTTACTCCATAACAATAGGCATAGGATTTTCTTGATTTAACGCATTAGTGTTTGTTCCTCCATCTTCTTGTAACATGGAAACATTTTTCAATCCCATGGAATATATGTACGATAATGAATAGTCATCATCGTCATCAATGGTAATAGGATAAGCTATTCTCAAAAAATTCGTATCCGTTGATGAATTACTAGAGATGTTGGTAGCGGTCATAGGTTGCTGCTCTTCGGGAACAACATTAAGTAATTCTGAAATAATGGTGGTGTTCACATGATGCTCTTGAGTCATATCAAATATTTTTGACAACTCTGCTTCTTCAACAAAATCAAATTCATTGGCCCATGGTATAGTAGACGAATAAAGATCTCGATGATCAATATTATCCATGTAACTATTTGGAGCTTCATCCATGTTTACTAGTCTATATAAAACTTTCCATTGTGGACTTACTTATATAATGAGACACTTGTCATTTTAATTTATGTACATTCCATAGTTGGATGAAATTTTCAAATTAACATATCTAGATGGGATCGTTGACTGAATATTTTTTTTTGTAGATATTAAAACCAAAATAGGAAAAATAACTAATAATCACTTGGTAGGACTTGATTGGATATGACAAAACTCCAATCGGTACTCCTTGTATTTCAAAATTATGCCGAGTAATTACTTCTTTTCTCAAATAAGTGATGATTTCTAAATGATTTTTCTGTAGTATATTATATACTAAAATAGGAAAAATAACTATTAATCACTTAGTAGGATTTGACTGAATATGACAAATCTCCAACAACACCTTTCTGTATTTCAAAATTATGTCGAGTGACCTCATTTCTCAAATAAATGATGAAACTAAAATCTGAGTATTCGATTAAAATATTACTATTTGAAATTTATACAGATTTGGAAAAAATATGAATACTATTAAATTTATTATTTAAAATTTTATATATATTATGGTAGAAATATCTATCAATGAAAAGTTATGTGCTCGAGAAAAAATGCGGCATAAATGTAATATTATATGTCATGTATATTGCCAAATTGATCGGATAGTAATGACTTATTTAAGTTAATTCTGTAATAAATGAATGTCAACAAGAAAGAACTATTTTAATTTTTCACTCTCAATAAAACATATTACTAGTCAGGAATTTTAGTAGCCTTAGTTGGCTGACTACCTGAACTTTCACTTTGGTGAGATTTCGATTTTCCACTTTATAATTTCCTTCCTCAATTTTTCGGTTCTTTTAATTTTAAATAACAAGATAATAGTATTATTCCTCAAAAAATAGGAAGGAAGGTAAGTGCGGATTAACATAATTGGTGACCTAAAGCGCAATTTCAATTAGAGACCTAAAATCTAACAAAAACTTGGTATATATGTTATTTGAAATCTTATTTATAAGCTTAGTTTAGTAAAATAGTAAAATACATCTTTAACTAAAACTTTTACAGCATATAAGTAGGCTATTTCTCAATTTAGCATATCAGACTTGTGAAGAGTTATGTATTATAAATACCAACAACCATATATCTCAGAGATGTTCCTTTTAAATTATTTCTGCATCTGTAACTTCATATTAATTTCATAAATACTACATACATCAAGAAATGATGACTTGCTTTCGATAATCCAATATGCTACAGCGCGATCTTCGGTACTTGTGCAGAATTGAAAGGATAACACAACAGTCTGATTCTCCGTAGCGGAGACATCACAGCTTGGGGATACTATTCCATCTTGTCCATATTCTGCAGTCATTGTAAAAGAAAATCAAAAAAAAAAAAAAATCTTGCTAGTTAGCTAGGAACATAATAATATTGAGTACCAATCCAACTATTTTGATAAATATAGAATGGGCATTCCATGACCTAAATATGAAGGTAGAGTACCTGAAAACCTGTTTTCTGATATTCCTAGGATCTGCAGTGCTGACATGTTGAAAATGCTTGCGGGGATGGTACTCATATATATATGAGTACCAATAATTGGTGGAAGAGTGAAAAAGAAGAAAATTCAAAATTTCTTGCTAAGAGATGTAATACTACCTCCCAAGTGAGAGCTAATTCTGTAAGATCTGTTATGTTGCCTAACTTTCTTGGTATAGTCCCAGTGAACTCATTGATAGACAATGACAAAATTTTGAGCTTTTTGCATTTTTCCAAGTTTGGTGGAATAACGCCACCTAGGATGTTTTCTGAGAGGTGAAGCAAGCCCTTCTAAGTTTGGAAGATGGTCTCATATAGTTGTTGGAAGCAGCAATGACTCGCATGGTTGATGGTGGTATTGAGCTAGTAAGGTGGTTACTTTCCAGGTTTAAAGCAGTCATGTAACGAAGATCACCAAGTTCTCGAGGGATCTCTCCTTCGAGAAAATTTTCCTTTATTTTCAACACTTCCATCATTTTTAGATTGGAAAGGGAAGATGGGGTTTTTCCGGAAAATTGGTTGCTAGACAGGCGCAAAATGCAAAGCTCTACAAGCTAACTTAAAGATGTTGAAATGGCACCAGTGAAGTTATTGCTTGAGACATCAATCAATTTCAACCTCTGCAAATGATCCAACTCTTCGGGCAAATCCCCATGGATTGCTTTGATTCAGATACCGTTTGAAAGGGGGGAAGACTCAAGTTACGGAGTGATAGTGTGTTCGAATTGAGGCAAGTGATCTTCTAAACCTTGTAAAACTTGTAGAATCATCTGTTTCCCTTCATTGTATGTGTTGGGGATCAGTAATGGGAATGAGGTGATGGGTTCAATTATTCTACTTGATTGATATTAATGAATAAAAAGGGAATTATTGAAAAAGGCAACATGTTGATAATTGTTTCGTGAATTGCCTTATTGTGGACCCTATTTTGTTGATTGATGAGGTGATTTGATTGCATTATTGTGGACTTGAATTGCTTGAGTTGTTGTCTCTTTCTTATGGTGTGAAATTACTTATTTGCATTGATTGTTGTGCACTGTGATGAGACATGTGTTATTATGCCGAAGGGAAATGGTTTTGGCTAGTGATGCGATATAAAGCCGAAGGGAAATGGTTCCAACAAGTGATATGATATAATGCCGAAAGGAAATGGTTCCGGCTAGTGATGTGATATAAAGCCGAAGAGAAAATGGTTGGCTAGTGATATTGAGCCGAAGGAAAATGATTCCGGCAAATGATACTATATAAAGCCGATGGAAAATGGTTCCAACAAGTATTTGATTATTGTGATTTGATGAACTTGATTCTTGAGATTGATTTACTTGATGCTTGTGATTGATCTACTTAATACTTGTGATTGATCTACTTGATAATTGTTATAGATCTACTTGACACTTGTGATTGTCATACGTGTTGCTTGTTGGTTGTTGAACTGTGACCATTGGACTGTAACTGTTAAGCCTTGTGAACTGTATATTGTGAAACTGTTAGGTTGGACTGATTTCTATGCAAGTTATAGTTTGAGGAGGTTCGGTTGGGATGAAAGGAGTACTTGTATTCTATTTTGCTTTACCTTGTTATTAGAGGTTTTCTTGTTGAGTACTGTGTTGTTTGATATTCACCCTTTATTTCTACACTTGTGTAGATTACGAGCTCAAATCTCTGCGATTAGTTTTCTTCTCTACTTCATTCGAGGCTTTTTTGTGGAGACTTGAGAGGTAGTTGCTTGTCACTTTAGCATGCCCTCTTGTTCCTTTACTCATGTTCTTAGTCTACTCTACAAACAAGGGCACTAAGACTTGTATTCTATTTTAATTCAGTTGTATTACATTAGTGTCATGTACACATAACAATCAGGTTTTAGGGATATTTATAAGTTTGATGAAGTTATCTGTATTTAAGTCGTTGATATTTTAATTTCCGCATTACTATCGTCATATTTTGGGTTTTAGGCTGATTTGTCTTGGTGGGATAAGACAAGTAGAGTTGGCAGCGAGACCGGACCAGAATTTTCCGGAACCGGCCTCAACCTAGTGACAGGCGGACGGAACTGGTACCAGATGTACCGTCAATTTATGTAATGGCAGTCCCCTCCCCCCCCCCCCAACCTTTAACTTTAATTAAATTAAAACTTGATTGTTTATGATTGAAATTTTTTAAAGTTTAAATTTAAACTCTTTAAGTTTAAATTTCAAACTCTTAAGTCTTAAAAAATTAAATTTAAAATTTTCAAGTTTGAAACTTTTTAAACTAAATCAAACTAATTTCAATTATCAAACTTTTTAAATTTCAAATTGTAACTTAAGTCTATTATATATATATATATAATAAATATATATATATAAAAGACTAATTGTATTAAATTGAAGACAATAATTAAAACAATTTAAGGCGAATAGCCTATAATTTTATTCATAAAAAATTAGATAGTACAATTTATATTACAAATATTAGAAGAGGACCTAATCTACCCAACCACCTTCTAGAATGGGTTCTGTTTGAATTAGTCCTTGAATAATCATACTAATATATGTAGCCTTGAAAATTTTCACAACCCACAGTAGACCCTAGGCGTAACATGGCGTATAGAACCTTGTTAGGCCCTACACTAGCCACTTAGCATACATCATTAAAGATAATAGAAGTAAGGGCTTTAAAAGGTAGCATTTCATATATCAAAAAAGTTTGACAAAAGCAGAAGTCTAACATAAGTCTCAAATCCATCTAATACATCATAAAAAGTGATTGGTACGTAACCCATACATCACATACAAAGTCTAAAATAAAATATAAAAAAGTAATAAAAGAGTATCGGTCCTCGGATCACAAGGACTCGCTAATCTTCAAAGCCTATGAAGAATCAACTAGCCATGTGTATGGGATGTAGGAGCATTGGACCTTACATTAGTGAAATAATGTAGGCACATGTATGCATTAGTATATGGAATATACCAAGTATGAGGAAATGTGCATAAACATGGGCATGATATCATGAATGACTTAAAAATGAGTAGGCGTGATCATATTGAAATATTCGGAAGCTTTAAAGAAAAGATTACATGAAAATCATGAAAACATAGTCAAATATATTAACATAAAGGACATAAGGAAAACTTGAAGAAAACATAGTCATTTTATGGGATCTTAGCTTTAACCGACAATAAGACCATGAGAGCTTATCATGGAATCCGGTATATCCCTCATACCAAAAGAAGAGGAATCTACTTGCCAAGGTAGAATCCGTACATATCATCATTTACTAAAGTGGATTCACTAGCTAGGTCATTTAATACATTCTACGAGGCATAGTTTGGGACTAGAGGTTGCTACTAGAGACTACTCTATTTGAGCCTTCACCTCAATGCCTTCCCGGTGCTAAGTCTAAATCCCAACAGAATAGATAAAATTCAAATATCATTATAACATAGGAAAAACAATGATCAATACCAATCTACATCTTTCAAGATCAAAATATAGAATAGCTCCTTAAACATAATTCAACATGGATGAGAAAGCATTTCACCAATGTGAATTCATTTGTGAAAATACTTTTCACAATCATGATTATTATAGTAAGTGAGAAATCCTTTCACAATAGCATCAATACTTTCATTTCAAAGCATCATCAATTCATTTTCAATAAATTTATGAAAATCTTCATAAATTCATAATTCATAAGTTCACGAGTTCATCATAGGTTTATATTTGAAAATCATAATTTAGGCATTGGTCAACATAATTTCAACTAAATTTCATGTATTAACATTGATTCATGATTGGGAGACTTAATCAACAACAATAAATCATAATTGAATGAAACCCATAAAAATTGGATTGAAACCCTAACTTGATCAATGGGAAATTGAAATCTTTGGGGACCCATGGAGGAAAGGACTACATGGGTGAATACACACATACCTTGATCCTTTAAGCCCAAAATGATGGAGAATTCAAGACTTGAATGGAACTCTAACACTTCTTCTTCTTCTTTAGGCTTGAGAGAATTTGGGGAGTGAATTTGGTCGAGTTTAGGGAATTTAGGAGAATGAGTTGAAAATGGATAAATTAGGGGCGTAAAAGTTTTATATAGCACTTAGGGTAGAAGATAAAACGACATAGTATTGGGTTAAAATAATTGGAAAAGGACTCAAAAGCCACTTAATAAAATTGTCGGACTCGACCTATGGTTTGGGCCTACTTTCTACGATTTGTACTGGTCAACCGTAGACCATGTATTATGATAATGATTTCACCTATCTTTTGACGGAACATTTGTACAGTTTGTATGTCTTTCTACGGTCCGTAGAAATCAACTTTCCTCAAAATTTACTAAGTCAAAGACTCACCTACGAGACCTATCTATGATTCGTACAAAGGATGACGGGCCATCCTGGTGAACGATACAAAGGGTACTGGGACTTGTTTTGAAAATTTTATTTTCACCCCTTTCTACGGTTTCCATCTAGGGCCCATAGAATCTTCTACAATCCGTAGATGGGACCCATATCGGACTTCAGTCCAAAAATTAGTTTTCTTCCTTTTCCAAATCCTAAGGTGTTACAAAAATAGTCGTGTCTTAGATCTTCTAACATTTCTTTGGTAACATGTTCCGGAAGTGGTTGTAGTCCTTGTTCCTCCAATGCATCCACATCGTCTTCACTACAATCTATCAAATTTCATCTATATCATATTCAAATTGGGAAGGTAAATTTGGACACCCATAATTCTTTTGCTCGGCATTGATCCAATCTCTAAACAATACTGATATGTCTAAGATTTCTGATGCCAATGAATACTTATGCTCTTCAATTTGAAGTTTTGTTGCATTTAAAATGACATCCAAAGCTATTGAAGATGCTTGAATAACTAATACATCTCTAACCACCGGTTGGATTTTTGGAAATGTCTTGTCGTGACTCCTCCATTATTCTAAAAGTTGAGGTTTCCCTTGTACATCATATCCATAATACTTTTTGTTCCCTGATTAAGATAATCATCCAAATCATTTTAAGATAATCATCCAAATCATTCTTTCCATTAGAAGTATGGAAAAGGTAGAAGTACCTCCCTAGACTATGACCCAAATCTCGGAGACACACCTTAACTAAACTAAGGTCTTATTACCCCCCTGAACTTATTTTTTTTGTAATTTTGTACACCTTTTTAGCTTACGTGGCATCCAAATATCTCCCACGCGACTTAACTGCGTGGAGTCACGGGGTGTGCCACATAAGCCAAAAGGTGTACAATGTTATATATAAAATGAGTTCGGGGGGGTAATAGGACCTTAGTTTAGTTACGGTGTGTCTCTAGGATTTCAGTCATAGTTTAGGGGGGTACTTGTGCCTTCTCCCTTAGAAGTAAGATCAAGACAATTTTCTAGCATATCATCACTAGTATCTTCATATCTACACCTAGAAGTTTCAGGTTCTTCATTACGTACTACTTCAGTTATTCTATCAGAATTATACAAGTAATACAATTTTCTAGCTTCAATTTTTGTGTTATCTTTAAATGTTGTGAAACTAGGTAATTCATCAGCTTGAATATCTAAATTTAAATATATATTTTCAACCATTCGTGTTACACCTATTTCATTGTAAGATGGGTTTAATAAACAATCAGTTAAGTAAATGTAATGACCCGAACGGTCATTTTTGAAAATTTTCATGAATCTATCATTTTGCCCTCCCGTTATTGACAGCGAGTCTTCTGTGAATGAGCTTTGAAAATTTTAATTTGAACTTTGAGTTAAAAGTTGAGAATTTGGCAAGTTTTGAGTTTGAAATGCTAAGTTGTTAAAAAGGTGATTTTTGGTGTCTTTTGGAATTTGGAGTGTCAGAATATA